TCAGCTCACTGCCAGGAGTTCAATCCTAACCAGCTCAAGGTTGACTCAGACTTCCATCCTTCCAATGGATGGATGGATGGTACAATGAGGACCCAGACTGTTGAGGGCAATATGCCGACTCTGTAAACTCTGTAAACTCTGTAAACTTAGAGAGTGCTATAAAGCACTCTACAGCTGTATGTAACTCTAAGTGCTATTGCTGTACTATAAGGTACAAAGCTATTTCAGATTCTAGTTGTTCTGCTTCCTCCCAGAAGGTAACAAAGGAAACCTGTCATGGAAAGGAATTCAGTGACGTGCAGTCAGTTGAGCCAGGGGAGGCACAGCCTCACCACTCCCATCATGAAAAGAAAAAAAAAAAGGAAAAGGAAAAAGGTGAGAGTTGAGGTCAGGCTGAACTAGTTGCTGCCTCACAGTGGATGACTCTGCTTAACTGTTTAAAAAAGCCTCTAAAAAAGCGCCCTCTACTATGAGGCAGGAGAACTGTGTGCCTCATCTAGTCTGACTTTAGGCGTTTTATGATCACTCGAGCAGAGTTAAGCAAGGGTTAAAAGTCTAAAAATTCCTGATGTAGGTGAGGCACACAGTTCTCATGCTCATAGTAGAAGGTGCTCGTTATGGTGGGGCTTCTTCAGAGGACCCGAGTCAAGAGCAGAGTTGAAATCCTCTCTGAAACACCTGGAAAAGGTACATGTGGGTCGGAGGGAGGGGGAGGAATTCAAACTTCATCTTCCTGGTGCGGGGATTTGGGCAAAGGCTGAAGGGAAGGACCCTGGCTCGCTTGTGCTCTCCCTCCCCGAGTGTAGTTTGATTGCAAGCAGAGCCACATTGCCTTTTCAAACCTGTAATCAGTGAAACTGGGCTGGATCCTTCCGGGGCTGGGGAAAAGTATGTGTGCTCCAGTATGGCTCTTTGACTGGCTTCCTGCCTCCTCCTGTGGTCTCCTCACTGGTACTCTCCNCAATCAATATAATGAATTTTTTACCAATAGTTAGCCCATTTTTGTTCTCTGTTGTCTTCCTCATATTTTTTTAAAACAAAGTTTCTATAGAATTCAGAATAGTAACTATTTTAATAAAGCAGAAGCTCACATTAAATAGAGCTTTAGATATTATGGGTTTTTCGTTTTATAAATTTCTGATTTAAAGAAATATAGAAGTTTAATGAAAATAGTTTTAAATATATATTTGTCCACTAAGTATTATATTTCTTTAATAACAATATTTATATTAAAATGTTTATTTTTGGCTTTTGTAATATGGAAGGAAGCTCTTACATTTAATTTCTTTTCATCTTGTACTAATCCACAGCATTGTATATAAATATTTGTTCATGCACCGGGTTTTAGCTTCTGTAAAAAAATTGGCATGGTACAATTCAGAACACACAAATCCCTTTCATAAATTGACAACGGTCACTCACAGAGATAATATATCATGAATAATAGTCACATTATTGACATTATTGTTTAAAGGGGGATTAAAATGATAGATTAATACACAAAACACATGGAGATTAGATTAATTCATCACAATCACTGTCAAGCCACATATTTACAAAATAACTTAATTCTTCATGACGATGCGGCACTTAAACTGCTATTAAGTATATCACATATTAATTTACATATGTAAAATTTTATATTTCGCTGCTGAAACATTGAGAATGCTTTTTTATTATTGATTTGAAAATGTATAGGGTGATGTTTCTAAAATTTCTATTGAAAATGCGTTTTTTAATAGCGACTAATATTATTTTTAGTTTTACTGATTCATTATGACTTTAGGGATGGCTCATATGTGAAGCTGGTTCTTGTTTCATTATTGGTGGTTTCTACATATGATCTCTCCTAAACACTCTTGCACAGTGGGCATTCTATATATGAATGCAGTGTAGATCATGAATTGATATTTGGTTATGGTTTGATGCAATGCCATTTTGTCCTTTCATTCAAACACAAAAGCATTCTAATGGAAATGTCAATATATGGATTGGTGCTTGGAGCAATGTATGGAAATGCCAAATGTATGATTGACCAACATGACTTCAATGTCTGCAAAACTTTATTGTTTGTTCAAACCTTCCTGTTAATAAAGATAGATCAAGCTAGTTTCTTTCCATAGCAAATAGGGCCTTGATGATCCTGATCTCCAAACAGGATCCAAATGCAGTGGACAAAATT